CTGCCAGAATATCGATTTCAAAATTGGGAGACGGGTGCAGATAGGAACTGTAGCCGGAAGCTTGCACGGCCATCCCCACCGGCCAGGTTGGCCCAGATGTCCCACTAATAATGCACAAAGCGCACGCATATGTCGATGGTGATCGTATTATATCTTAAAAAACAGGACAGAGCCAACTTACAGCATGCTGTATATACAGAAACCACCCGATGGAAGTCATCGCATACGAGCTGACCAATATAAAACTATCAATTTGATCGGCACCATATAGAAATTTCCTGAGCTCTACGTAGGTACCTTCCAAGACTTGGTGCTTGCGCCGTCCTGGGCTGGTGAAAGAAGCCGACCGCGAGGACATATGTGATGAAGCTCTCAAACTAAGTCTCTCACCTTTAATGACAATTGATGCTCGGAACATTGTGAAAGCGAGGCCACAAATGAATAAAAAAGTCCCAATCCATCGATACTTCGCCGCAAAATGTATTTATACAAAAGAAAAAGGTGCAAAAGATGGGTTGATATCTCAGTTATCTGAGATGCATTAGGAATTGAGCCCAATGCGGGGGTCGAACCCGCAACCTTGAGATTAAGAGTCTCACGCTCTACCGATTGAGCTAACCAGGCAAGTGGTTGTGATTGTTGAGATTCGTCGTGGTATTGGTGTTTACATCAGTATTGTCTACAGGGCGGAAGCGTGAAAATTCTTTTGCAGAATGGACTCAAAATCACGAGTCGTGACTCATATTTTCAATGGTCACGATAACTTCAGATTGGGGTACGAGTAGCCCACTTGATGAACATTAGCTGTGGAGACTCTCGCGAATCTCCAATCACCCCGGCCAGCGAGCAGGGGATACTCCAATATTCTCGCCACACAACCCGATAACTTATGTTGAAAGGTAAGGAACGCTGTCTAAGTTTCAATTTGCGTGAGATGGCAGGGGTTGAAATGTTTTGAGAAGATCTGTTTATCCAAAATCCTGAAAGTTTCGCGGTCATTCGCATTATGCATATGTGGTGGCCGCGGACTGTAGGACATAGAAACATGACCGTCTACGGAACAAGATGCAAGCTCTAAGAGGGCGCCAATCTCCACTCCGTGTATTGTTTTGCGGCGAGTAGCCATCACTCAAGCTTCTATCAGATCCCAAGTCATGTAGCCAATTGTCAGCAGCAGATTGCAAATGTGGTGGGCTCGAAATGAGACATGACCAACATGCGAACAGCAGTACAATACTTTATGTGCATGATCGAACGAAATTTGTAAGATAGCCCAAACACGACAGACTTGTCCCAACGGATCAGCCTTCGCGCAATGTGATCGATGGCGGAGTTGCTATCAGTTGCAATTTCGCATGGCTCGTTGATGGTTGTGTGGATCGACGCACTCGCTTTGGGTAGGGCAGGTGGTGATAAGCCATGCTGATACAGCCGCTGATTAGTATATAGTACCCAAAAATTACCAATTTTCCAACAATCAGCCATCGCGCAGTTATCTGCGCATAATCACTCTCGATGGCGCAGTTGGTAGCGCATTGGACTGTAATTGTCACATCTTTCAGATCATCCACAGGTCGTGTGTTCGAATCACACTCGGGAGACTTATCTTTTGCTCGGTTCGACTTCATCTTGTATTCCACCATTTTTTGTTCTCATTCCCTCACTCCCCTTTCCTCTTTCCTGATCCTGTGCCAGCTGCAATTCGTGATATCATCCACGTTTCTAACATCATAAGCTGAATTAACGGGGATAATGACCATGTCCTATCTCATGCATGAGATTAACAACCTACGAGGAGGCGTGACACAGCAAATCACATACATCGGCCGACAACTGGGGCTGCCGACAGTCAGTGCGTACTGCGCTTCCAAGTGGGCGCTCCAAGGGGTCTGTCGAAGGCTTCACAGAAAGCATTGCCAAGAAGAGGCATCCGGACTGGAATATCATGTTCACATGTATAGAGCCGGCGGGATTCAGAACAGAATGGGCTCATCAAAATATGGCCTATCGCAGTCCAAAGCAGAGCTTGGAAGCATACAGCCATGTACGAGCAGAGCAGGTTAAGGCCGATCTTGCAGCAACGCAGATTGGAGATCCCGTCAATGGCGCTGCCGCGATCCAGAAGCTTGCACACCTACCCGATCCGCCCTTGCGATGTCCACTTGGGAGTGAAGCTTATGGGACGATGGATTTCAAGTTAAAGCATTATAAAGAGTCATATCGAATTTCGAGACCATTGCGCTGCAGGTTGATGTAGACGAAGCTGTATGCAACAGTACTCTGACCGTCTAGATACATAATGCAAACGTTTGCAGACGGTACCTTATTCATTCAGTCTGTCCTACGCAACTTTGAGGGCAACTTGGACGTCGGAGCCGAAGCGGGCAATATTGGTCGACCTGCCACCAATGGCACGGTCTTACGGAATACACATAGACCACAAGTCGTTATCATCTTGAGCCTTGTGCGTTTGTCAGTGAACTCCAGCATGGTTAATGTGGTGAAAGCCAGCAAAATGCCGATCGCATTGGGGTACTGTCGCCCATATTGAACCCGACCTCTGCCCGACCAGGCAGTCACAGCATCAGAATCGCACAATTGAGGGGTATCTACACGGATTACTAACCACGTCAAATTGGTGCACTGGTCCTTATCAACGATGCAAATCGATTATTACCATGCAGAAGCTCGTGAAGTAGGCAAATGGACGTACGACGAATGGATGTCAGTGACAAATTATAAATCGCATGCAGGATGAATACTACCAGCCTATGATGCAAACAGTCTCAACAACATGCTAGTATTTATGCCTCTGCAGCGACAGTATTGTCAGAGGCTTCGGCGACCGAGCACCGACGAAGGCAGGTAGCCGGTCACGGTCCGTTGGCAGCCAGTATAAATCGTTTCAACTGCCGTATCTGAGCCCGAACCCGTGATATATCCAATGTAACCCGTCACACGCTCACACGTCATAAAGCTCAATCAATGACCTAACCTCAGCATCTCCCTTCCTGCCAAAGCACAGGCTCTCGTCTAGTTCCAATTCACCGCCATCAATTCAATTCAACATACCTCAATCAGTCATCGCTGGCTCAAAATGGGTGTTCCCGTCACTTCGAGCGTCGACAAGGCAGTGTCGCCAAGCCAGGATGGCGCCAATCTACGCCTAACCTTCCCCACGACGACTGTCACTAAAGCTGCCACGAACCTCACCAAGGAGGAGGCGAAGGAAACACCAACACTGTCGATTGCCGCCTCGGCACTCAAGTCAACTCCAAGCACCAAGTACCTTGTCGCCGCTGTTGACCTCGACGCCCCATTCACGTCTGTCAACTTCATGAGCCCGATCCTCCATGGTCTCCATGCCGACCTCGTCGCCGGCCCCCCAGCCTCAGACGGATTTGCCCCGCTTCAAGGCACCGATAAATGGATGGTACCTTACATTGGCCCAGGACCGCCACCACCCAGCGGCCCTCACCGTTACGTCTTCCTGGTGTTTGAGCAACCGAAGGACCTGGACGCCGCCAAGATCAAGAGCAAATATGGCTTTGGTGACGAAGTTGGTATCTGGCCCAGAATCCGCTGGGACCAGGTAGGATTTGAGAAGAACCTGGGTCTGAGCGAGGCTTTGACGGCGACTTACTTCCTCACCAAGGGTTGATGATCGTTACGAGATCAGGTGAACAGTTCTGTCAGTCGAGTGAGAAGTTGCGGATCATCGGGTAAAATAAGAATTTGTCGCTATTCACGATTGGTTGCAACGGGCTCCTCTCTCGACTATTCGATCAAAGTACCTACCCTTACGTGCATTCCTACCCTCGTGCATTACGCAGTTTATGATCGTGTTAAAATACCCATATAGTTCAAGCAAGCAATACAATTTTATGATGAAATGCTTTCGCCGCTCGATATTGTTGTTCGTTTTCCTGGCACTACCTACAGGCCAGAATGAAATTCCACACGTTGAGAGCCTGTTTATTTTCGTCCTCCTGGAGTTTTAGAGCTAGGAAAATATTACGCGTGCTCATGATTACCGATGCTGATTCTAAGGGATCGGTCACTGCAAGTGTTGTTTTCTGAGAGTTCGACACGTGACTGACTATTTGCATTCGTCCTTAACCCTACACGAGGAAGGATGAAGAATGACTACGACGGAGGATGAGTCGACCCGTGTTCTTTAGGCTCTATATGAAGCCAGATAACCGCGCTCTTGCCGATGACATCTTCACGGAACATCCTAGACTCAATCCTTCTTTTTTCCTGACTTACGTACTCTCAGGAGAAGCTACTCTGAAGAGTGGCCTTTCTGTGACCTCAATAAGCAGGAGAATTGGAACAAGAACCGTTTCACATCTCCTTCCTACGCGACTCCAAAGGGAGTGAAATGGGCGCCTAGTGTACTTGATTTGATACACACCAAGCCGGATCTAGTGTTCCTTCTCTGGTGCTAAGTAAGGTAGGTTACTTGGGTAAGGTAGGTTGTTTCTCAGTACGGTTCCAACTTCATATATGGTGATAGTTGTGAAATATACCAATGTCCCAGATCTTGTCAGTGGGTTTCAAGATTATAAACATGTGTGTTTTGCGTTAAACCATACTCAGGTAGAGCATTGGAGAATACCTACATAGAATAATGTGAAGACAATTTCTCGCAGCTTGCTTGTGACGCAACTACTTCTTGGTTACGAACGGTCACAGTGAGAATTGTATGCGGGGTTCAATGACTTGAAGCACCTTATGAGATAGCTTGCTGTTCCCTTCAAGCATAACAGCCGACCGGCATAATCCGCTCATGTGCTTATAGAAGCCTGAATTCAGAAACCCCATTCATCCACCTCACCTTAAGCTGTACCCCATAGCGGAGCAGCAACACCTACCACCCTAGACCGTGACACATGCAAATCCCAGCCCTAAGTCATCCGAGAAGCCACCAACGATCCACCACACACTTTTCTCCTTTATATAGCTCAATACAACATAGCCCATCACATCCAATCAGAGGCAACTTGGCCGAGTGGTCTATGGCGCTGCATTCAAGAGAATTGAACTCTTTCTGTGTTGTAAACACTGAAATTCGCAGTCACGAAAGTGGCAAGGGTTCGAATCCCTTAGTTGTCATCACTTTTGCGCATTTTCCAAATTTTGTTAGCCCGCCAATCACAACATTTCCTTCATACCTGTCTCTTTTTTCCTTTCTCCCATCCGTTACAATTTTTGTCATTTTATTGAAAGTAAACCGTGCCATCCATCAGTCGATACTTAACGCACGATTAGCAGAACACCAACCAGAACATCCATTTCTATCTACCTTTATCGAGGCGCAATGTAGGCAATCCAACGATTCAACAATTGTGATCATTATTAATCAGTGAGATCAATTTGGAACAATTCCCGTTGCCTATCGCAGCTTCATCAGTGTTCACTTCCAAAAGACCAAGTAGATTCAATTCGTGCGCCCCTAGCCACTCTTACCCATCAATGATCTCTCCAAATGATCGCGCACGAAAATGTGACTTTCACAATCACAACCGGTCCACGCTTTATTCAAGAGCAAGCCACACAGACTTTCATTTACGCCATACGTGATTTCGGTTTGGTCGCTCATTAAGGTCAGATAAACCAATCGCACCTTCAAGAAAGAGCGCAGACTCAAACAAAGTGATAATCAAGGGTGACAGCAGATAATACCTAAGTATATGCCCATTCTCGGCTCATGCACTCATTGCGGCCGGTCGGGGCAGAGATAGGGGTCCGGCCTATGGTAACAGCAGTACCAGGAGTCTCAGAAACCAGACCCGCATTGTCGACCAACGTCGACATATCGCTTAGTCGTACATCCAACTACACTTGGTGTCTGCAACCAAGCCGAGGGTATATCCAGTTTGTACAGTCTTGGACACTTGACACCATCTTTTGTGAAATCGGTCACTCTGCTCATACCAATGTATGGGGTATCCGATCAAGCCGCAAGCCGGGTAAGGAGCACATGAAGAAATGATTTTCGTATTTCGGCTAGATTGCCCATCTCCAGGCGAGTCACTAGCACAGTTTGCAGCCAGACGACCATTAGGGAGCTGAGTCAGCTCAGTATTACGCTTATCACATTCTCGCTGTTGGGGTTTTGCTATCATTGCTCATTGCTCATTAACCTATTGGCCTTTCGGCCTATACAAAGCCATGTCCAATACGGGACAAGAACTGGGACTATCTCTTATAGTGCTATCATACTTCAGCCCGATGGACGAGGTCTCGAGGAAACAATCGCGAGCTCCAGGCCGGAGAAACTGCGTTGACCCAGCAGTCATTTCACCCTCCTGGCATCTCCTTGAGGAGTATGCGGGGGCGAGTCGGAATAGAGGGGCAGCGTGGACGGATATACGCACGAGATGGATGAAACACGGAACTATGGTGAAGGGGGTTTTGGCATGAGGGAACTGGTATTGTAGCCCTTGAGCCGATATAGCGACAAGAGTTGATCGGTGTTGGAAGCCTCAGACTGCATACTCTGAAGCTCCAACGCATGTGCAGAGCCTTCTCGAGGGTACAGGGCACGTTCGAGGCCTAATAAGGGCTGTATGGATCCGACGGGTTACCAGGCTAAGGTTCCCCGAGGAGGCGGGCAGTGACATCTCCCATGTACTCGGGCTCCAGCTCGTAGTCTTGACCGTCGAAGGTGGCAATTCCGAAGTGCTGGAAAGCTTCGACGACTTTGTCGACATCGAATCCCATAACAACAAATCTGTCCACGAGATTCTTGTTGTAGCCCCTGTACCTATTCAGAATATCTGCGTTAGTATAGTTCGATTTGCGCCTCACATCGAACGCGACCGAAATGCCATCAACTTACCGCCGTGAATCTACCTCGGCCTGAGGCTTGGGCCTGATGGGAGCACCTCCGCGAACGTCGTACTTGGTGGTTGGCGAAGCACCAGCATGCTTGACAGCCCACTCATGGGCCTTCTTCTGAAAGTTGGGAAAGTCATTCAGCATCATCTGAGCGACCTCGGCATCCTGTGGATCTTTGGGCTCCGGGCTCTGGAAGAGAGACTGAACAGACAGAAGGGCGCTTTTAATGGTGAGGACAGGCGACCAGGCGTTGCCAAGCGTGTCCAGGCAGATAGCACCCTATGAAATCATCAGTATCGGAACTAACGGAAGGACATGGGGCCTTGTTCGTCGTACAGTCTGACTGCTGATGTTGGGGTGCCAAACTTTGGTGTCGAACTTCATGGCCGGGGCCTTGAAAGGATACTCCTGGGGGATTCTGATGTCAACGACAAACCAGCCTCCGGCGTACGGGGTGTCGACAGGACCAGCAATGCGGCCCTTGAGGTGTGTCAAATCGCCGTTGTTGTTGGCAGGTCGGGCGACGATGATGTTGAGCTCAAAAGGGGTCTTGTTGGGGAACTTGGTGGTGAGTTCTTGGGCTTCGCCCTCGATATCACTCAGCTCCTTGGCGATGCGGCGCATTCTACTCGAAGCCATCGTGATTGCCGGCTGCAGTGGAAAGATTTGGAGATCGTATAGAAGTAAGCAGTATTGTGCTTGGATCCTGTATCGCGAGAACTGTCGGCCGAGTATGGGAGGCGAAATTAGACGCTTCGAAATCGATATCGAATCGGTGTGCGACAAAAGGATACTCGATGATACGTCGTAAGAGTCTGGTGCTCGAGAGTCTGGAATAGGTGGAGGGAGGCGGCCGTGGGTGGAAAGAGGATGGTTTCTTATATAGCTTGGGTGACCCGGGGCACGGAAGGCTCGATATTGCCCAAAGGGCTCTGGCGTAGGATGATTGAAGAATCAATGGGAGAGGATAGGAAGGATTGAATCAGCGATGAGGGAGGTGGTGGTCGCAAGTTCGTTGCCTAAGACTGCTCAAGAGCAATGGCGAAGCCCAGATGAGTGACACCTAGAATCAGATGGCAACAGGATATACAAACCTCGGGCTCAACGATATCCGTATATGCCACTGATTTCAGCTGGAGTGGACCGACGCGAATCTAGCGGCTACCAGGTAAGGTAGGAGGTGAATGCGTCTTGAGAGGTAGGGTATGCTTAGGATCCAAAGAGAATGGAGGAAGCTGAGGCAGAGTGTCGGGCAGTAGTGAGTGGATGGGAGAGGGGGTTAAAGGGAAAATCTGGAAATGACAAATGAGAAGTGAGGCATCACATCACAGCCTTACTGAAAGCATTTGCGAATTCGATGAAGGCGTTTGTCTGTGGAGAGGGGTCGTACCTATCTGACTTGAAGCCTTGAAGGTCGGTTGCAACCTCGAGCATGAAACGTGAATGACAACCCCGCCAATTCACCAGTAGAGGGGGATATTGCTGCATTAATATTGTATTTCGTCATCGGGGTCAGGTCTACTGTACACATGCACTCCCATACCTATCGGACATATTAATTCACCCAACAACAACGAATAGATTTGACTGCCTACCTAGTCAAGTCATAAATATCGAGTCAGCTCTGTAGTTTACAGACCCGGGTCTCTTATGCGACAGACAATATGTCCCTCCAAAGGGATCTTTGCTGTTCAAGTTGATGGACATATTCTAGATACGTTAGAGGGGAGTTATTATAAGTACTTACAGGACCCCCCCTAGAATAATTGGATATAGCAAGCCAAGATTTAGGTACCTTCGCTTAGAACCCTACCGGATTTATACTTAATTTAACCTAGATTCGAACAGCGGTACTTCTGATTATTTAGCGTGTTTATACCCCATTAGCGCATTTCGCTGTCGTTTTTAAACAACGTTGCGAAGCCATTACGAAGGCAATAGCGGTATATATCGCTTTCTAACTTCGCTAATTTTTAACCTCGCCGACGCCTTCGTTATAGTTTAAATTTAAATATAAAAAACGTTTTATTACTTCTTTTTTAAGGCTATATTATATATATTACTTATATAACTTTTATATAATTTTTTTACTTTACGCAATTGCCGTTATTTTAGCGTTTTTTCTGCTTTTTTTCGCTATAGCTCGTAGTACTTTTTATTTTAATAATTAAAACCGCGAAAAAGTTGCGATTTTATACGAAGCAAGGCATTTTTAAGCCTAAATTAAACGCTTAACAGGTTATTTTCGTTATTAAATTACGTATATTTTTTTTAAACGTTCGAAAGCTTTTCGAAAACAAGGCTTAAAGCCTGCTATTTTTATTAACTACGATAACATTATTATCGAGTTTATTATTTATAACCGTAAACACCGGTTTGTATTTTAAGTACGCGTTGCTTTTTATTTATTTAATAATTTTTACAGCATTATCGCTATATCGACTGCTTTTAAACGCCTCGGCTTTTTTCGCTATAAAACTCGTAGCAAGTTTTCCTTAAGCTAGACTAACCGCGAAAAACGCTTATAGTAAACTCGTAACCACGTTAATTAAAGCTTTAAGGATTAGCGCGCTATAATTTAAAGTAACGAAATATATATTTACGGTAATAAATATAAAACGGGCTATATTATTTGCCGTTTTAGTAAAAAATAGGATAAAACTTACTTTATATTTTAGTAGGCTTTATAAAGTGAGAAAGGCATGTTTTATTTACTACGTGTAGCTACGAGATACTAAGTATTAGTAATATATAGTCTAAAGGACCACACCCGTAAAAAGGCTTTTAGCAAAAGGGCTTCCCAAAAAGGCTTCGCTTTATATTACTTTTTATTATAAAAAAGTCGGCGTTTTCGCCGATTTTTCCGGACGTAAAATACCGACTTTTTTAAAATAAAGTACCGATTTTTTCGGAAATAAAGTAATAAATTTTATTAATAATAGTAATATATTAATAACGGCGGGTAATTTTACCGAAAAAACTTTTAATATAGTTATTTCTTTTTAATAGATTTAGGAAAAAAGTTTTCGGAAATATAACTAAATTAGTAAACGTTTTTTTTAATAAAGCTGCTTTTATTAAAAACTTTTTTAAAAACTGCTTTTTAAAAGTTTTTAGTAAATTCGTTTTAAATAATAGTATTTTCGTAAAGTTTTTTTTAAATAATAAAATCGTTATAAAGTTTTTTTTAAATAATAAAGTCGTTATAAAGTTTTTTTTAAATAGTGCTGTTTTTAAAAAGTTCTTTTTAAATAATGCCGTTTTCGAAAGCT